CACTCTGCACATCTCTCTCACACTGTGTCACACCCTGTCATGCCTGCCTCTGTCACATCCTGCTCTTTCCCTGCATGGCATTTCAGAGCCCTGGGGGGCAGGTGTGACACCTTGCTGATACCAACCACCCGTGACCACAGAGGTCCAAATGGGCATTTGCAGCTCTTTTTTCCAGGAATCTGTCACTGGTTGCCGTAGTGATAAACAAGTTGGCTTATTAGGAAAAGGAACAAAGAACTAGAGAAAATTATTTCAAAATGGCCTACATGCATAGATAAACATGTCATCTCACTTCTCATTGTTAGGCTGGGCAGCTGTTTTCCTGTTTCTGGAGCAGCACAGACCCCTCATACATTATTTTAGCAAGTCCAGCCCAGTCTCCATAGCCTGTGTTTTCTGACACACAGTGTCCTGTATGAGGGTGTGGGGCTTTCTCTTCTGAGCTGGATGATTAAACTTCTCAGGGGCTCCCATATCTGGATAGTATAGGAAAATGTGCTTTCTTAGAAAAACTCTTAGGTGGTCTAATGAGGCTGAAATAAGTGTAAAGGAGTAGAAGAGGACACAAAAAATTATGCTTTTGCTGTATCCTGTGCTGCAGCTTCGTTTTTTTGGTATCTTTTTGCCTCTTGCTGATGCCAAGATACCTCTGTGCAGACACTTGGAGTGCTGATCTGTGCCTGTCAGATGGCAGAACATCACCTTCTCAGTAGGATGCCTGGCTTACACATTGGTCTTCTGGGCCTTCACTAACGTGTAATAAATCTGTTTTCCTTTCAATCCCTGGATACACTGTGACTCCACTGAGATCAGGCTTGTGCATTTGAGTGTGCAGTATGCAGTGGATGTTCTCTGACACTCCTGTGGGATGCAGCCTCAATGCCCTTATTTTTGGCTAATTGCACATTTTGATTGACTGAGCAATGCCAAAAGGTGTAACTGCAAACACTAGAAGCTACACTGCCTATATTTCATTCAGACAGGCAGGCTACTCTTTTGCCTGCTTTGATTTGAGTCACCTGGCATGTGGATTTACCCATCACAGAAGCCAAATTGGTGAGACCCCTTTGCATGCCAGAGCTAATTACCCACCTCCAGTAACCACCAGTCGCTGCTTTTGAAAGAAAAATATGAAATAGCCCAAAGAAATTAACTGTCCTTAGGTTTAATCTGTTCAATTACAGCCATGTGAAATAGAAACTATTTCTCTCCAGTGTTTCATCTACTAGTTGAAAATAATTGCACATTTTTATATGTTTATCCAACTGATTTTGTTTCTGCTTCCCATGGGACTGTAATAGTTCTATCAGCTGCAGAACCTATGAAACAATAAATGCTAATAGTTTATTTCAAATGCTATTGTATAATTCAGACCAACTTTCCAACAACTGGGGAAAAAAAAAAAAACCCAAACAACACAGTTTTAAGTGTACCTAGCTATAGTAAATCCTGATGTTCAGAAGCTGGGGAAATTCAGATGGAGCAAGCAAAAGGTTTGGCCAGCTTGTCCCTTGCCAGGCATGCCCAGCTGAGAGGCTGGATGGGAGTGCTGCAGAAGTCTCTACACAGAGCTGCCTGATGGGTGGGTGACCCTGAGTCAGGAGGGGACAAAGGCAAAAAGAGCTGAATTGTTTTAAGAATGGTTCAACAGTACATCTATTGCACAACTAAGGCGACTCTCCTGCCACACCTGTCCTTTTTTACACACAATGGCAAGACTGAAAGCAATGAAGAAGAAAGGAGCCAGGGCACAACATTGCTGGCTAGCATTACACAAACCCTTGTGACTGCATCCAGCCAGCATCTTCTGTGTGCTCCTGTTTGAAACAGGAAACCTCTGTGGGCCTGTGGAAAGCATTCCTAGGAATGGGATTTCTTTAGTTTGGGTGTGCATATGCACACTTGCACACACAGGCTGCTTTCTAGGACAATGTTAAGCATTCTCCTGCCAGAGTCGCACATCCTCTGCTGGTAAGAAGCACAAGAAATTGAAGTAGAGGCAGCTGTTTTTGAAAGCAAATGAAAAATTGGATGCCAAGTCCTGACACATCTCTGCAAAAAATCTTTGGAGAATGGAGGCAGCAATCACAACACCATAATAGATGACCCAAACCATAAACTACTGCAAACAAACAATTCTGGACCACATCCTAAAGAGAAATGCCTGCCCACACACTCTGATACTACCCAGAATATGCACTGTGCTGCATACTATGTGTGAAACCATAGGAACAGCCTGAGTCACACAATGATTGGTACCATCCATCACAAGTTGGAAACTTGTCCTTTGTTTCAGAGTTGCACCTGAGGCCTCAAATCAAATGTGACAATTTTTATAATAACCAGTGCTAAGGTGTTCAGCTGAAAAAAGTGTATCTGTAGACAGTTTGCCCCCACAAATGGAGTGGTAATTTGACTGGATTCTTCTAGTTTCCAGAGGAAGAACATTCTGCTTTGCTTAACAAGAAGCAGCAATTTAATACAAGCAGTTGGCTTGTATGTAGTGCCTTCGTTATCTTTTACCATTCCATCTGAAATAATCTGCACGTGAAGCTAAGGGAAAGTGCTGCTACATTATTAGGTATCACACCTGACGTATCTGGCTCATGACCTCCGAGCCTGTTCTGTGGCACCTGAAACTGTTACAATGGTTCTGAAGGGAAAATGTAGTCATTGCAATTTGTTATCAAATAACCACATGTCTCATATTGCTGTTACAGCAGCCGTGATAGAAGTAAAGGCAGTATTTGTTAGCAAGCATAGAGAGACAGTCACCAGCTTTCAGGAATGCAATTAAAGAGATGGAAGATCACAGCTCATCGGGATACCTCCCTGGTGCTTGCTGTTTGTGCTCCTTCCTAAACTGCTGCAATTATGTTCAGCTATTCTTATTGCTGCTTTTACTAAGGTCTTGCAGCCATAAACTATTAAGTATCCTCTATAGGCTCTGAATACAACACACAAGTTAACTAAAGATAATGTTTTGGATTAAAGGTAATATAAAGGGAAACCAGTATTTTAAAAATATTTTAATATGTTTGGCTATAAAGAATGCAAATTAAACACATTAATTTGTAACCCTTCGTTTCTAGGTTCTGACCCAATAATTTTTTAAGAATCCTGACATGGTATCATAGAGTATCTAGAAATGGCAAGCTTAGAATTAACTTCTCCAAATGATTGCTGACTTGTAAATGATACCAAGCAATATCTTGGTATGTTGCTTTGATACACATGTTTGCATTATTTGAACGAATTATCTCTGTAAATAGAATTGTACTGGAAATGAGAAAACAATGGTGTGCTCAGTCACTGGAAAGACACAGTTTAGGTAATCGTCCTCTAGATAAACAGCATCAGCACAAAACAGGCAACTGTACATTTTGTGTCTGAGATGTTCTTGATTTGAATATATTGAACTATTTATGCTTGCTCCATTCCTCCATATTATTTCATTTATCACATAACAAGCCTTCCACTCCTCCACTAAACATGCTAACTCTAATTATCTCTTTCCTACACAGATGTTTCTTCGTTCAGATGTTCAGTGCCTGGTCAGGTGTCGCCCTCACTGTCTCATGAATTTCAGCTTACATTACATCGGATCGATGTCCTGTGTGTGTGTCCTTTTGAATAAAAAATTGTTTGGGGATAGATATGAATGATAGATAGAGTGTCCACGTTATCTACATTTGTTATACACATGCAAATGTGAAGGCTGAATATAAAACAGGAAAAGAAAGCAGTGGTGTAAGTCCAGGACGCTGGCGTGCAGACATCCCCCATTTCTGCAAGCCATGCTATTCCTACCAAAAATCAAAGTATCAGTGACGAATCACTCTATTTCTTATCTCAAATAGCTCAGAAGCCAGTGAGAACATCAATCGAGCTCTTCGTTTTAATCAGAGAATCGTGGAGAACTCAGTAATTTGCAAACTCTACTGCTGTGCTTCTGTGTTCTTATGCAGCATGAAGTTTTAAAAGCATAAGTCAAGCTGTAAGGAAGTGTTTAGTTATGACAGCAGGGAGTGTTGAAAAATGCATCGGAAACTCCCCTGTGAGGAAAGGATTTGTAAGAGGTTTTAGATTGTGCATTTCATGTGTGTTGCAGCACCTCAAAATAAAGACAGGCGGATTATGATGAAATCCTGATATACCTATGCTTTTTAATAAGGAGCTCTCAATTCCATGTGACCTGCGGGGAGATGCGGTCCAGGGAGCGCGGGCGGGGCGGGGCGGGGCGGGGAGCGACACCGACAGACGGGCACCGAGGGGAGCTGCGGCAAACCGCCGCTTTATTTACAACTTCTTACTTCCACTGAGGCAGGAAAAAACCCCAAAACCAACCCGAAGCAGAAGTGAAGCGAGCGGCTCTCCTCCGCTCCGAGGTGTAAGTACTCGGGCACGGACGGACCGTCCGCCTACCCCAGCCCTGCCCGTCGGCGGCCGGCGCTGTCCGGGGGAAGGCGTCCCGGCCACCGGCCGAAGTTGTCGCCCGCCGCGGAGAGAAGCAGCGCCCCGTGGCCACCCGGGTCCCCGTCCCTCGGGCCGGCGCCGCCCCCGAGGACGCGGAGCGCCCCGAGCCGCCGCTCTGTCCCCGCGGCCGGCAGCCGGAGCGGGGCGGGGCGGGAGCCCCCGCCCGCGGGGACCCTCCCACCCGCCTCCCCGCCCGCCCTCCCCTCCCCGCCCCCGCGCACCGCCAGAGCTGCCCGGGGAAGCGGAGGAGAAGGAGCGTCTCCCCAGAGCCCCCCGCTGAGCCCTGGTCCGGCGATGCCGAGGGTGAAGCGGGAGGAGGAAGAGGAGGAGGAAGGGCGGCCGCTCGCAGAATAGAGGAGCGGCGGGAGCGGGGCCGGCAGCTGCCCCGCCGGGCTGCCGCAGGCACCGCGGGGCTCCCCGGCCCGCCCCGCCGGCGGCCCCCGCGCCCGCGGAGGGAGGGAGCGCCCGGCGCCCGCCCCGGCCGCCGCCGCCGCCCGGGCGCCCCGCGGAGCAGCGCGGTGTGGCAGCCCCGCCGCGCCCGTCTATGGGGCGGCGCTGAGCGGCGGCGCGGCGGGAGGGCGCCGGGGGCAGCATGAAGTCCCTGCTCTTCAGCCGCTTCCTCCTGCTGCTGCCCTGGGTGCTCATCGTCATCATCGTGCTGGACATCGACAGCAGCCGGGCTCCGCTGCCCGCGCTGTCCCCCCGCGGCGGGGCCGAGGGCGGTAGCGGCGGGGCGCGGCCGCCCGCCCCGCGGCGGCGGCCCGAGGCCGCGCTGCCCACCATCTATGCCATCACGCCCACCTACAGCCGCCCGGTGCAGAAGGCCGAGCTCACCCGCCTGGCCAACACCTTCCGGCAGGTGTCGCGGCTCCACTGGATCCTGGTGGAGGACGCGGCGGCGCGCAGCGAGCTGGTGACCCGCTTCGTGGCGGGCGCCGGGCTGCCCTGCACGCACCTGCACGTCCCCACGCCGCGCCGCTACAAGCGCCCGGGGCTGCCCCGCGCCACCGAGCAGCGCAACGCCGGCCTGGCCTGGCTGCGGCAGCGGCACCAGCACCTGCCGCCCCCGCAGCCCGGGGTGCTCTTCTTCGCCGACGACGACAACACCTACAGCCTGGAGCTGTTCCAGGAGGTGCGTGCGGGACAGGGGGGCGCGCTCGGCCGCCGCGCTCCACCGCTCCGCAGAGCCGCCCGCCGCGTCCCCATCCCCGCTCCCGGCCGCTCCCCGCCTCCCCTCTGGCTCCTGCCGTTCCCCCTCCTCAGGCTCCCGCGCGGAGCTGTTCCCCATCCCCGATTTGCGGCGAACTCGGTGTCCCTTATCCAAAAATTCCGGCCACGGGGGAATCAAGCCCGCTTCCCGCCTGGAGACCTTGCAGCGCCCGTCCCAGGCTTCCCGGGACTGCTTCTGTGTGACCACCGCTCCCTTGATTTTAAGTTTCTTGTCCCTCCTCTCCGTACTCCCCCAACTTTTTACTGCTGTTTTCTCACTTCGCTGCCGAGTTTAAGGTTTATATAAGGGATCCTATGTGTTTTTTTGTCAAAACTGGGTTGAAAAGTGCTCCTTGGTTTGTTATTTTCGGGCTGCATCCCTCTCCCTGTAGGGCAACTCCCATCAGGAGTCTCCATCCTTCAGTTTTTTCCTTGGCGCTAATGAATTAAGCCAGAGCCGGCTTCTTCACGTGGAGTTGCCTTTCTGAAGCCTTTCGCTCTTAAAAGCAGCAAATCTCTTGTGTAACGACTGAACGCTCTTTCAGGAGTCTCTTTTGTGAAGGGACCTGTTTTTGTCTTCATTGCCTCCCCTTGGTGAAGGGCTTTGTTTCATTTTGGTGGGAACTGGCAGGCGCTCGGGGCAGAGGATATCCAGCTTTCTTTCTGGGTTCCCCCTGGCAGGAAGGAGGGTGTTTAATAGGTGGACATAAAACAGTAGAAGAAAGATCATGTACATCTTATGTGACAGCTAGGAGAGTAACCTTGGCAGGGAAATGAGGCAGGGAAACAGCAAAGCAAGTTGGCAGCAGAGGACTTCAGGCATGCTGCGGTCTGTGTGTTGTGCCGGTGGACAGAGCTGTAGTCCGAGGTGAACACCCCTCCCCTGCCGCTGCTGCCGAGCTGTGCCCCTCCTGGCGTGCTTTACAGTCAATGACTTAAAGTGAACGTGATACACAGAAATGTGAAGCACATGCAATTCCTTAGGGAAAGCTGGTTTAGAAATGCTTAGGCTGGTTTGTGTTTAGGTTCATAATGCATCCCTTTCCATTTCCACTGTGTGGGAAGGTGCAGGCTCCCCATTCAACAGGGATACCCTACTTCTTTTCCCGCTTGTCATTCAGCGTTGAAGCTGCTAATTTAAGGACCTTTGCCTAAAGGCCAAACCTCTGTTGCAATTGATTTTTAAAAAATTTTCATAGCTGTGCTCAGTGCATTATAATGCAGAGTAATTTCACATAATGGTCTTTGATGTTATGGGAGTGCTCACACGTATTTGTAGAAATAAGGTTAATTTGACTGAATCTTAGGGAGTCTGTTAATAGAAACAGAAAGTACACTTTGGCACAATGAGTAACGTGGAACAAAATATATTTGGCAAATATCTATTGTTTGGAGTTTTGTTTTTTGTGGGTTTTTTTGTTTGCTTGTTTGGTTTTTTGTTTTTTGTTGTTGTTGTTGTTATTGAGTACCAATGTTAGGGACAAGCTGAAGGAACAGTATTGGCTGACGTTTCTCTTGAGTGCTCCACAGCTATTGAAAAAGAGTCGGGTCATATTTATTCTTTTAAAAGTTCTATCGTTCTACTAATTGCTGTGAATCATGAAACAGAAAGGTACAAATCACCTCTCTAATTAGCTAGGAAATGTGGGAAAATGAAGGGATAAAACTGTCTGAAGGTTCAGCCTTGAGAATTGCTAGCACAACAGGCAACCTGTGTTTCCTCTTGCTAACAAGCATTGTAACTTCCAGCATGAACCTCTGCAACCCTAAGGCTTCCCTTTCCCCTGTGTTGAGCTGCTGGGAAAGAGCTGTTTGTTCCAAGCCTTGTGTTCACAGGCAGACACACATGCATGAATGAGTTTTCCCTGAGAAATGGGGAGCTGGGAAAGCTCAGTTACAGGAGCAGAGGAGGAGCATTTGCTTCAGTTGTCGCTGCGAGTTCCTGTGGGTGTTTTTTGGGGTCTCTAAGGAGCTGCTGGCAGGGTCTCTGGGATGCACTGTTAGCAACACGGGGAATGCCCTGCAGACCTGGCAAAGCTAACGGAAGTCTATTGGCAGGCTTCGCCAACGGGATGCCCCTTTACGTGTGGGAGGTTACATTTAGAGCGAGCCAGGAGCCTGATTTTGCAGTCGAGGCACTGCTAGAGGGCTGGTTGCTTCTTGACTCGATAAAAGAAAATCCATGTATTCATGGATTCTGGCTTGACAACTCCGTGGTAAATCCTGATCTCCCTTTCAGGAACTGATTGATTTATGAACGTAAATTATACCTGTCTTCTCCAAGCACGAAAAGAACAGCTTCAGAATGCATTGTTTGCAGATGAAATCTGGTAGTAATTCCTGTTATAAAAACGGTGGTAACTATACCTGAGAGGGAATTTTTTCAGTGTGTTGCCCTGCCAGGAAAAATTCTCCAGACCAACAGCTGCTTTCCCTAAGGAAGTCTGATAAACTGTAGTCTCCTCACTAGGAGGGAGAAATTTAAATGTAGGATGAGACAGGAGCTCTGAACTCTCATTCAAGCAGCATCGTGTGCTGGCTGTGTGACTTTCAGCAGGTCGCTGGCACGGACACAGGGGTGTGCAGTCCCACAGTGCCAGCAGCACTGCGTGCAGGCAGTGTGTACATTGTGCATTTGCTGCTTTATGAGACAGCAGGTCTGTCTCTCTGCGATGGCTTGCTGCTGAGTCAAAGCTGGTTCCAGGGGCAGCAGTGGGGCCTCGGGGAGATGGGAACCAAGGCTGGCTAGGACTGTAAAGCCAGCATGAGAGGAACATTTGTGTTAGGGAAATACTTTGCTCAGAGGTCAAACAAGCAGGACTGCAGAGCAGAAGGTGAGCAAGGGAACTGCACGTTGTGAAGGATTGGGTTTAAGGAAGCTCTTTTGCCGTGGGTTTCCCTGGTGTCCTTACAGGAGATGGAGCCTTTTAACAAAGCAAGGTCAGCAAAGGCTTTCCCGTCAGCTGTAGTGTATGAACCATGAGACCATGATCAAAAAGGAGCATGCTTTGACATGGAATGCCATGGGATAGCTTTTGATGATGAGCTTTTGATGAAGAAATTCTAATTTCTGCCCAAAGTACTTCTGCTTGGTGCTTATAGGAAGGAGTACTTTATATTTGATGTGGAGTGAGCTGGGCCCAGTAGACCTAGGCTGAGTGTGTTTAATGGATATCAGGAAAAAAAAAAAACCCAGCTTACAGTAATATGGAAAATGTCACACTCTGTAGTAAATCTGGAACCCTTGGCTGCTGTTTATCTTTTTTTCCTAAGACCTACGATGGCATGTGGGTGGATAGATCAGTTTTTGACTGGTGAAACTATGTCCTCAAAGTTGAACTGGGTGGGGTCTAAACAGTTTCAATTGTCCCCTCTAGAATAAGGTGGAAAGCCTGGTTTGTCTTTCTGCTGCTACAGCATTGGGTCAGTTTAGCATTTCGTTAGGAAAGGTTCATCTTCCATGGAAAGGCAGCAGAGAAGGAACCAACATGTTCAGTGATTGTGAAATTCTTGAGAGTACTAAACAGGGCTGCAGCAATGATGAAGAAATATTTCCAGGAGTAGAGATATGGCTTTTAAGTTACTCCCAACTCTTTCTACTTGAGAGTGTAGTGGTGGTCAGATAAAAAAATCATGCTTTTACTTTAATGCCTGTGGTCTGGCATATTGTATTTGATAATTTATTATTTTGGGGTTGAGACTTCAGAAATAATTTATGTATTTTCTGTTCAGGTATGATCTGTTCATCTGGAGGTGTCCTTGTGCATGTCTCCATCAAAAACAAGTGAGCTTTCCAAAAATACCTGTTACGTTAAAAGTCAGCCTGCATTTGTAAAAAAGACACTGAGCCCTGCAATTCCACCTATTGTATTTAAGATGTTTTACAAATGTTTCCACATGACTCACCATAGCTTCTATTTTTTACTACACACTCATTTTGGAGTGATTCTTATAGTTTCTGGTGCATTTGTGCTTCATCTTACTCCTGAATGCAAGTTATTGCAATATTGTGACTGATGCCTAGCAACTGCTGATTTCACATTTTAAACTTCCAGAAGAAAAAATCCTTAGATAATACTGGCATTCCACCTTCACAGAGAGATTTTAAAAACACGATTAACCTGAGCACTGGAAACTGAAGATATACAGCTAAGTCCCACTTCCCTTAACTCTTCACAGAATTCCTGTGTTTCTGTGTCTCAGGAATTTTCTCTGCTCTTTCCATATATTGAGTAGCTGCCTAAAGGCCATCACTTCCATGGTCCATGTTTGGATATGTATGCCAATTGGAGGAATTAGTGTTGGAGATCCACTCTGCTGTTGATTGTGCAGACTGCCCTGAAAGCTTCGAAGGTGAGGGGTGAGCAGCATGAGGAGTACAAGAAGAAGAGTGAAGGTCTTCAATATCTGTCTGAAAGTGAGCTTGCTGCTTTCAAAAACACACTGAGATTTAGAGATTCCTGTCTAGGTTATTTCTGCCACTTTTCCTTGTGTTTTGTTCAGACACCTAAACTGAGATATATTTGCAATTAAGATGCTCATATCTAAAACCATGTTCCCTCTCCCTACCACCGTCAGGCTTCTGGTCATCAATGTCCAGAATTTCATAGCCATGTTTGCTGGGTGCCTAGAGCATGAAAGTGTGGCACATTCCACTATCTTGTCTGAGTGCAGGGAGAGGATTTGCAGACTGGGTCTCCTTAGAGATATCCACACTAACGTGATTGGATACAGCCTTGCAGCATGGAATGCAGAGTAGATCACAGCCCTGATTCTTATTTCTAAGGGGTAAAGAAACCCAACCCAAACTTGAGAAGCTTAGCAGTAAGTCCTTTTGCCCACTGAGTTGTGGGCCAGAATTCATTTTGATGTAGCTGTTTCCTGCACATGAGTGCCCTAATATGGTGGTAGAGTTGAAGCTGG